TCCTACCCCAAACAGGGGAAATCTACAGGTCACGGGGCAATCTAATATTTCAGGGGGTGGTAGACAGGCTGCATGCAGCCGTGGGACCTAGGCTGTATTCTCTCGTGGAAGGTAGGTAGGTTGGGGTTAGGTCAAGTTCCACATTTTTTGGGGTCGTTAGAAGCATCAGAAAGCCGGGAAACCCAATCTTACCACCCTCTAAAATGTGGCACTGTCCTGTGACCTCATCTGGGGTAGGATAATTATAAAGCAACATTAATCATGTGGACTAGAATCCGGGAGAGGACTTTCATCTCACCGCAAGTATGAAGAGACATTCTTCTTCACATTCACTGGCTGTAAACTCCAATGAAAAGTTCCTGTTATTCATTCACCGTTGAACTTTTATCTTGTTTTCAGAACTAGAGTTTTGCGTGAATATCCATTTCACAGATTTTATGTGTATGCACAGTTGGTTGGTTAAGCACCAGCAAGTAGATCAAAATTAGAATTTTGAGAGCATGCATCTTCCCTGTAGCAGCATACGGATGTGAGTCGTGGACTATCTCCCAGTCCTCAAGGAAGAGAATAGGGGCTTTTGAGCTGAAATGATATAGAAAGATTCTCAGAATATTTTGGACAAAAAAAGAGGAGAAATACTGACATCTTAAAGATGTGAACATCAAGGAAGATTGGCTAATAAACAGCATCCTGTCTCGGAAGCTGAAATATTTTGGTTATATCAAGTGCCACGACAGATTGGAAGAAATTATAGCAAAAGGCATGGTACCAGGAAGGGGGGAAGGGGCCGACCGACACGAAGATGGGCACAGGATATAAGTGACTCCTTGAGTGTGAAAGTGCATGAGGCGGGAAAACTGGCGAGAGACCAAGTTTCTTTCAGGCAGACTGTGATGAGAGCGAAGTTCTGCAAAGGGTCTGCTACATGATGATGATGATGGAGATGACACAGTTGGTTATATGTGGCTACAGCTCTCTTGTCTGTCCCCCCCCCCCCCCCCCCCCCCCCCCCCCCCCCCCACCCACACGATTGTGACTCATTTTTTTTTGGGAACTGTTGGCACCCCCCCCCCCCCCTTCCCAAATATGACCAACAAAATTACTGCTACCCGTACCTTTAACAAGATGGTTAATGCAAACAGTTTGAAAGACTGGTCTAACCTGTATATCCGAGTTCTGGGATAGGTTTGCCTCCAATTGTAAATGGTTCACAGGTAAAAGTAAGTAAAGGTCTCTTTTCCAGGCCTTTAGGCCTCTAAGCGCACTCGAGGCTCTAATCCCCATATACTAACACCAGTATTTTACAATTTGGCAGACAGACACATTTATTATCTGTTATTTAGACAGAAAGTTCTGGTTGTTCATCCCCCTCTGGACCTTAGTCTTGATTCAGAACGTAAACTTTGCGTGCACATCCGTTTAACAGATCTGACATTGTCTGCAGACGTATATGTCTGCTAGATCTTGAAAACGAAAAGAACTCCAAGTCTCAAAGGAGATAACAGCAAAATATAATTTAAAAAAAAGAAGATGACAAAGAGTGATATGATCTTATCATTAATGCCTTGTTAAATCTTTGAGTCCCAAGGAACGCATCATACGTTCATAGGTTCCTTCCTAGAAGCCCACTGAACGCAAGATGCGCCAATTTTATTACTTTCTTTACTACCTCCTGGGCCTGTGAGGCAAAACCCTCTGGGACTCAAAGAGTTAATTTTTAAATTTAAAAAACAAAAAATGTTAAGGATACATCTGAAGCAAACAATCTTCCTCAGTTCAATTTCCACAGCCCTGCAAGAAAGAAAAAAAAAAATACAGTATGAAAAAGCTAGAATTATATGGCCAAAAATGTGTACCATTTAAGTCCGCACGCATGTTTGATGGATGACATTTTTCTTTATTGGGGGCCCTAATATAACCCATCTTAGGGGTTGAACATCTTCCACAACCTCATCCACCACACAGCTTCAAGGAAACCAAAACAGCGCTAAAGCAGTCTTTCAAGCGGGAGTGGAGAAGGCAGAATGGAGATTACAGACCAGAGAGTAACAGCATAAAGAAACTCAACAGGAAAGAACAAAAATCAATTTTTAGACTTCGGACTGGACACTGTGGTCTTCGAGCACACCTGTACAGGATAGGCATAAAAGAATCTGCTGCGTGTGATTGTGGAGCAGAAAGACAGACCCCTGAGCACATACTGCAGCACTGCCTTAACCTCTCCCAGCAAAGACTGTGGATCTGGCCCACGGGATCCACATTGCGAGAGAAGCTATGGGGGACCGGTAACGACCTTAAATGCACAATCCTATTTGTGACCCAAACGGGACTCAATGTTTAGCATGACTGATATCGAACGCAGAAGAAGAAGAAGAAGAAGGGGTTGAACAGGGTTTCTGGGACCTATCCCCAGGTGATCCTCATCCACATGGTGGCACTTTGTGTGCCAGGGTGTTTGTCACTCGGTGTATTGTCCTGGTGAGGTTGAAAATCAATCAACCAATTGGCCAAAAATGCGGAAAAGAAAACTGTACTTATTTATTATTAAACATAATTCGGCACTCCTTTGATCCATTCCCCAAAATGGCGGCATGCCACATTCAGGCCATAAAATATCCAAAATTATCCAAATGACGGTGTTCCCGTATATCTAAAATACGGACTGTCTGCCAAGGGACAAATCGCGGCAAAACTAGGATTACTTGACAATCACTATCAACATTGCACACGGTACTATTAGCAGACGATAAATACCGACCGTTGACAAAAATTTCGATCGTTTCTGCGACGACGATACTAGCAGATGATATTAGCGACCGTTGACCAATTTCGAGACATTACAGACGATGAAAACGATTAGCAATACTGTGTTCTTCCGATTGGAGCGGTAGATGTCAGACTTGTCGGCATGCACCAAACGCGATTAAACTCATCGCCGAGCGTATCTAGGTGCGTGGGAGTCACAAGTACAGTAATTGGAGGAAGTTGCAGGAGATGCGGTAGCTGCCACTCATGAGTCCCAGCCATCTAGTTTAGCCCCCATCCGCGCCGCGCGTAGCGGCGCAGGGGATACGCTCGGCGGTGAGGCACACTCGCAGAAGCAGGTCGGCAAGCAACGTATCGCCGAGACCCTGTCAGAGCATTTGTTTCATTATTCGGAGCCGGCACATATATTTTTAATAGAACTGACCAAGCATTCGGATATTTTTGGATATTTTATGGCCAGAAATTGGCCAATTTAGCTCCTTTTTGAACGCCATCATATTAAAGCCGCCATTTTGGGGAACGATTCAAAGAAGCGCCCATAATTCAAAAATAAACTGCAAAGGCTAACCAAGATAACAAACACCCAATGGAAATTACACAGACATGCTGTAAAAAAGGCATATTTTCATTAGGTCACTCAGACGAATGTTGAAGAAGAAAAGGAAGATATACAATTCAAAGTGTGTATACATTTTTGGGACACCCTTCATATTATACCAGATGTTAAAATATATCAAGAGAAAATTCTTTAGTGTACTCAGACTGAACAAACTAATCAGCGTGAATTTGCCTAGAAAACCCACACAACAGCCAGGGGCTGTTGGGGTTGGTTCTGCAACGTCCTGTAAAGGATACACAACCAGAACTCAGACTAAAAATAATTTTTATAATAAATGTTATTTCCTATTTAAGAGCTAAATAACTCCAAGCTTCTTCTTCGTTCACCGGCTGTAAGCTGCGGCAGAAAGTTCTGGTTGATCGTCCATTTAAACTTCGGCTTTGTGCCAGGGCCTGAGTTTTGCGTGTACATCCGTTTTACTGGCTTATTTGTTTGTAGTTGGTTGTTCCTTGCCGCTCAGGCAGATGCACTCCAACTTCTAAGGAAGTTAGTTAGTAAGTTAGTTTATCATCATTGCACTCCGGACATGTCCATAGGTGCTCAGATCCTCCCCTCAGTGTGAATCCCAACGTCCGATGGCTAAAAGTACCAGTTCTATGTTGATTAACAAGTCTTCTGGCGTGTCTGGTGTGCCCCTTGTTTTTTGCTGTGCCGATCTTAATTCCCAAGTCTGCCATTCTGGCGAGTGATGTGGATTTATTGCCACCAAAGTCGTCTATCCTTCCCATTTCTCTGAGGGCATTAATAACTTTGAAGGAAGTCCCCTAATAGTTCACTCCTAGGACATGCTTGCTGGGGAGGCAGTGGGTCTGTCCTTGTTTTCCCCATAATGGGGTCCCAGAGTCCACACAGGGAATTTCAAGCTTGAAATATGGAAGCCAATCATGAACAGCAGATTAGTGAAAAGTTTTGTGGAAGTGGTGGAGATGCGGTTTTATTGACAAACAATGAGAACACCCTAGACAGATAAAAAGAGCAATGAAGATATGGTGAAAGAAATTGACTCATAAAGAGAACTGAGTGACCACTTTTGAAGGAGACAATCTACATTTTTTGGGTCATGAAAGGGAGAAAACTGGAGTACATCATGACAGTGGGAAAGTTGGAGGGAAAAAAAAGCCGACAGAAACTGAAAGAGAAGATGTTGGACATTTTTACAACATGGCATGGACGATTATCTGTGACAGAACTGACTGAAAGTACATGAGACAGAAGAGAGTCACCTTTGTGTAGCAGCTAGATGCTTCCCTGCGAATCTGAAGGCAATGGATTCGGGTCCTGATGCTGCCAGACTTAAAAAAAAGAAAGGACTCCTGGGTCGATCCAACCTTAAATGGGTACTAGGCACAGTCCTGGGAAGTAAAGATCGCTGGCATGATACTGACCAGATCACCCACAGAGTGTCGATTGGCCTATAAAATAGGTACAGGTATAGTCCAATGTGCCTAATACACATGAAAGCATGGAAAAGATTGTGTATAGACATGACTACCAACGCCACAGTTTTCTAATCACAGGTGATCATCCCTGACACAACGTCTGACCAGAAAGTTATTTAAAAAAAAATTAATAATAATATCAAATATGAAGCATAAATAAACTAATATCGACTCACTGTTGGATAATGGCTGGTGTGTTATAATTTGCATAAAACTGTTGTCGTTCCACGGGAGATGACCTTACCCACGCAGCCCACTCCTGGGCAACTTCAATGTACCTAGTCAAAGAACACAGAAATTAGTTTTTTTTTTTGGGAAGGAAGAGTGAACAGTTCAACATCTTTGGAATCAGAACCTTAGTTGATATTTAAAATCTGGAGACTGACAGAGAAATTACAGGTCTTTAGAATTAGTAGAGTTTTTCTAGATCTTTAGAAGAAAGTTCTTTATTAATATCCTACCCCAGACGACGTCACAGGACAGTCCAACATTTTAGAGGGTGGTAAAACTGGGTTTTCTGGCTTTCTGATGTTTTTACGACCCCAAAACATCTACAACTGGCCCTAACCCCAACCCACCTACATCCGACAAGAGAGTGCAGCCTAGGTCCTACAAACGCATGCAGCCTATCTACCAACCCCTGAAATGTTAGACTGTCCCGTTACCTCTGGATTTCCCCTGTTTGGGGTAGGATATTAATAAAGCACTTAGAAGGAAGAAAAAATATTAGAGCATTTTCTAGATATTTAGAATCTAAGAATCTATAGAATCAGAAAATTAGCAGATTTTGCAACTTTTTTGAGAAAATTATAGAAATTCTTTTTTATTTTTTCTTAGCTTTCACTGGCTGTAAACTCTGGTGGAAACTTCTGGTTGTTCATCCACTTCTGGACTAAAGCCTTATCCCAGAACCTGACTTTTACAGGCGCATTTGTTTTACATATCTGGCTTACTTGTATGCAAACTGTTGGTTCCTTGACTCTCATGCAGATCCACTCCGACCCTGAAAGAAACCCCACCGATTGGTCAAGACATGATTGCTAGTGTGTAGTGGGTCTATTTTTGTTTTCCCCCGCAAACGGGGTCTCAGAACCCACATGACGATTATAGCAAATCAACACCTTTAGAATAAGTAAGTTAACTGACTGATTATCCGCAATGCGGGAGTCGCCGTGGCCGAGCGGCTAGACGCTCACCGCGGATCGGAAGGTCGTGGGTTCGCTCCCTGGCGGAGACGGACTTTTCTCCAAAAATGACCTTGGCTCCCAGGTCGACCCAGCCTTGAGTGGGTACCGGGTGCAATCCCGGGAAGTAGAGGCGGCCGGCGTGATGCTGACAACATCACCCATCTTGTGCCGTTGGTCTATAAAATATAGCCCTATATGCCCTATACGCCTAAAAGCGTGGAAAGGGTCCTTTACTTTTACTTTTATCCGCAATGCACATCTGACAAGTACATAAGCACTCGGATCCCATCTTCAGCATCTCCCTCAGTAGGAGGCGACTGTTAACACCAGTTCTGTGTTGCTTTACTCTTCTACACCTTTAACATAAGCAAACAATCAGATAATTCTACATCAGGAACCGGTAGCACTATTCGAGATATATACAAACAGCTGAGCAAGATCCCTGTGTGGGTTCTGGGGTCCCTCTGTGGGGGAAAACAAAAGACCCACTGCCTCCCCAGCAAGCATTGTCGTAAGTGTCGACTAATTGAGGACTTCCTTCCAAGTCGGAGTGTGTCCGCCCGAGCAGCAAGGAACAAACAACTACACACAAATCGGCCAGTAAAATAGAGGTACATGCATAACTCAGTCTCTGGTACAAAGCCAAAGTTCAACTGGATGAACAACCAGGACTTTCTGCCGCAGCTTACAATTGGTTAACAAAGAATAAGTGGAGCAACCATGGACTAAATGATTAAATTAGAAAATCAGTCGAAGTTTTAGTTATACAAAATCCCCCGTTGGGGTTCCGGGGCCCTATTATAGAAAAAACAAGAATAGAACCACTGCCTACCCAAAAGCATGTCGTAAGAGTCAACTGGGAGCTTCTTTCGAAGTCAGAGTGCATCTGCCTGATATGCAAGGAAACAGCAGTCTGCATACAAATGAGTCAGATCTGTAAAACGGATGCACACCCAACACTCAGGTTCTGGAACAGGACTGCAGTCAGAAAGTGGATGAACAACCAGAACTTTCCGCCAGAGTTTACAGCTGGTGAACATGAAGAAGAAGAAGTTATACAAAAAAATTAAATTACTAGAGCAATAATTAAATGTTAGAAAAAAAATAATTCACTGGGCTTTTGAAAATTAATAAATAAATAAAAATAATTTGATCAGGAGTAAATAAGTAAATCAGAAGTGCAACTTTGAGCTTTAAAATAAGTAATCAGTAGGCAATTCTAGATCCTCAAAAAGATCAATTCAGAAGAGTATTCAAACCTTTAAAATCAACAAAACACCAACAAAGGACAAAACCAACAAGTCCATCTCAACAAAACAGATAGATAATTTCAAACAAACTGGGCTGAAAGAAAACTCATTAAAACATACTTCCTGTATGGGCCCGGATTGTTTATGTCCACAATGACATACTCTCCAGATGGCAGCATCAATCTGCCAGTGCTAGCCCCCAAAACAGAGTCGTAAGGTGGTACAGGGGGGGAGACCAAACTGGCACAAGGCAGTGATACCTAGAAATAATAGAGCAAAACAGAGTCATAAGGTGGTACAGGGGGAGAGACCAAACTGGCACAAGGCATTGATACCTAGAAATAATAGAGCAAAACAGAGTCATAAGGTGGTACAGGGGGAGAGACCAAACTGGCACAAGGCAGTGATACCTAGAAATAATAGAGCAAAACAGAGTCATAAGGTGGTACAGGGGGAGAGACTAAACTGGCACAAGGCAGTGATACCTAGAAATAATAGAGCAAAACAGAGTCATAAGGTGGTACAGGGGGAGAGACCAAACTGGCACAAGGCAGTGATACCTAGAAATAATAGAGCAAAACAGAGTCATAAGGTGGTACAGGGGGAGAGACTAAACTGGCACAAGGCAGTGATACCTAGAAATAATAGAGCAAAACAGAGTCATAAGGTGGTACAGGGGGAGAGACCAAACTGGCACAAGGCAGTGATACCTAGAAATAATAGAGCAAAACAGAGTCATAAGGTGGTACAGGGGGAGAGACCAAACTGGCACAAGGCATTGATACCTAGAAATAATAGAGCAAAACAGAGTCGTAAGGTGGTACAGGGGGAGAGACCAAACTGGCACAAGGCAGTGATACCTAGAAATAATAGAGCAAAACAGAGTCATAAGGTGGTACAGGGGGAGAGACCAAACTGGCACAAGGCATTGATACCTAGAAATAATAGAGCAAAACAGAGTCGTAAGGTGGTACAGGGGGAGAGACCAAACTGGCACAAGGCAGTGATACCTAGAAATAATAGAGCAAAACAGAGTCATAAGGTGGTACAGGGGGAGAGACCAAACTGGCACAAGGCAGTGATACCTAGAAATAATAGAGCAAAACAGAGTCGTAAGGTGGTACAGGGGGAGAGACCAAACTGGCACAAGGCAGTGATACCTAGAAATAATAGAGCAAAACAGAGTCATAAGGTGGTACAAGGGGAGAGACCAAACTGGCACAAGGCAGTGATACCTAGAAATAATAGAGCACATTAACTAATAATCTGTCTGACTTTTTAAATGTATTAAAAAAATATGTCTTCTTTTGTATCGTGTGTGTGTGTGTGTGCATGTGTGTGTGTGTATGTATATGTGTGTATGTACATGTGTTGTAGGTGTGTGTGTATGTACTTGTGTTGTAGGTGTGTGTGTGTATGTATATGTGTGTATGTACATGTGTGGGTGTGTGTGTATGTACATGTGTGTGTGTGTGTATATGTGTGTGGTTGTGTGTATGTATATGTGTGTATGTACATGTGTGGGTGTGTGTGTATGTATATGTATGTATGTACATGTGTGGGTGTGTGTGTATGTATGTATGTATGTATGTATGTATGTATGTATGTATGTATGTATGTATGTATGTATGTATGTATGTATGTATGTATGTATGTATGTATGTGTGTATGTATGTGTGTGTGTGTGTGTGTGTGCATGTATGTATGTATGTATGTATGTATGTATGTCTGTGTGTGTGCGCGCGCACGCGTTCGTGTGTGCATTCGTGCGTGTGTATGTGTATGTATGTATGTATGTATATGTATGTATGAGCATGTAAGAGTATGTATACATGTGTATTTTTGAGTGTGTATGATTGTGTATATATGAAATGAGTACGTATTATTTTATTATGTATATTTTTTAAAAGACAAAACATGCGTTACTGATAAAATGCAACTGTGGTCTCAAAGATGAGTGCTTGGCAGGGCCGAAGGTAAGACGGCCTGCATGTCCAGTTTGTTCAAAAATAAACTTTGTTTGTTCGTTCATTCTGTCCTTTATACCAAATGGAAGCAAAGGCCAGAACAACCAACGCATGGCAAGTCATCCTATTTATTCCTTTTTCCTGTAGCTCTCTCTCTTTATTCCCCCATATTAGTAATCTTAGATTCCAATTCCCTTCTACATGTTAGTTTCCCCCCGATCTCTTCTATGCTGTGGGTTCCAATGAAGAGGCATTCTAGTTGTACTATTAAAAGAATGTTTCAATGTATGTCCATTTACCAGCATAAGCATATTTTTCATCAATTCTGAATTCAGCGGAATTTGTTTAGTTCTCTCCCTAAACTCCATATTAGTGATTCTGATATAAAATGCTGATTCCCTCTCGTATTCCTTCTGATCTAGGCAGGCACCAGTTAATGAATGCTTGCAGTTGATAACTAAATGCCTTGGATGTTCTCCATGTTTCCGCTCCATACAGCGTACTTCTTCTTCATATTCACCAGCTGTAAACTCCAGCAAAAAGTTATGGTTGTCCATCCACTTCTGGACTTTAGTCCTGTTCCAGAACCCGAGTGTTTTAATGCCCATCCATTTTACAGGTCTAATTTATTTGTATGCAGATTGTTGGTTCCTTGCCTCTCAGCCAGGAACCCCTCCCCCTGTCCAGTTAGTTGACTCTTACAACAAGCTTGTTGGCGAGGTAGTGGGTCTGGTTTTGTTTTCCCTACAATCTGGACCCGAGGCCACACGAGGAACAGCAGTACTAATTGTAATCCACAGCCAACAATGCAGACTTTGATATCAGATACATATTCTTTAGATCAGAGGTTCTCAAACTGGGTGCTGCTGCACACTGGGGTGCCGTGAGCGTATGCCAGGGGTGCTGCAGCAATAGTCAATAATTTCTCAAAATCTGCTTGAGATCAGCGAAGATAGGGGTTTAAAACAGAAATACCGCGAAGGAAGCCAAGAAAAGTTTGGATGCAGGTGTATTCAGAAGACAATGCAAGGCTGTAGAGCATTCTCAACGTATGCTTACATTAAAAAACAGACACAGGAGCAACCTTCAAGTGATCTGAGTTTACACTTAAACTAAACTTCCCATAAACATAAAGGAAATAATGAAAAATTCACCCAAACAGTTTCATTCATTGCACTAAAGACAAATGAACATTAAATGCGCACTGTTCTTCCTTCTTTTCCTAAGCATTCAAATCGCTTTTGGGGTAGGTGTGTCGTGAAATTTTGTGTGTCCACGACAAGGGTGCCGCAGCGCAAAATGTTTGAGAACCATAATGTTCACAGGATTTCTAATGCTATACAATGCAGACATGAAATTAATTTAAATCACTGGGGACTCAAGAATAGTTCTTCTTAAAAGAACCTCCTCTCATCCAGATATAAGTTAAAGCAAGAAGAATTGACGGGGATAAACAGATGATTCTCCACAACAGAAATTCGCCACTTCTGAGATCAGCTTAAGTTATGTTATGTTATCACAATCAATGTCTTTGCACATTGGGCATCCCCATGCTTGCTCAGTCCCCCGAAGCAGCAGTCCCTTCAAGGCATCTCTACTGATTGTTCCCATAAGGAGTTGGTTATAGTATCTCCTATCTTTACCTCGAAGACAACATAATCATGCTTCCCTCAGCACAACTTCACGGTTACACAGTCGTGTTAGCACCAGAGATTTGCCGTTATTCCCCAACCTAGTCCATACAGCGTTGATGATATCAGCTCTGTCCATGCTTCCTTCCGGTTGCATTAGTGCATTACTTGCCACCTTAAGTGGCGTGTTCCGTATATTCATTTGTCCTCACACTGGGGAGCAACTGCAGAAACCAGATTCCGGCAGCTTTAGACAGCGAGATCAGGGCACGGAATGATCAGTATTCACACCCGGAAGACAGCCCCATCTAAACAGTCAGTCTGTCAAGTGGGGGTCAAGGTCAGCATGGACATACACAACACAAAGGATGGGGAAAACAATACAAGAGAATAGTGGCGCTTATACCAGGCAGCTAAGTCAAGCATGACATGGAGATAACTGCTACTTCCAGAGCACCCGCACAGGTAGCAGAACAGTCAAATATGCAGTAATCATATCAGACTCCACAAAAATGCTTCAGAAAATTACAACAGATAGCTAATTTAATGAATGTGTAGAAAGTGTTCAGAAATTGCACTTAACCACCCTCACCTGGATCTACACACCTGGGCATGCTGGAATGAAAGGTATTGAGCGAGCGGACCAACTGGCAAGCAATGCACCAACACATGCAGGAAGAAGCATGGGCAGAGCTGCTATCATCCCCAACCTATGGACTACACCCATGATAATGAGGATCTCTGACACTAACATGATTGCATGACATGGGAGTAACATATGGTGAAGCATGTCTACACTGCTTTTGATGCTGAGATAGGAGACATTATAACCAACTCCTCAAGCGAACAATCAATAGAAGTACCTTGCAGTGGCTGCTGCACAGGAGGACTGAACAAGCATGGGAATGCTAATGTTCATTGACGTCGACTGTGATAACATAACACTGATTTCATTTCACCTGAAACTTATTTACATCACTGTTATAGTCGAAACTTTACCTGCGGTTCCTGACTGTGTCCAAAGCATTCTTGTACCCGTTGCGAGACGTTACACACCATATCTAAAGCTGTACGGTCTTCAAAGACAATACGCACTCTCCCATTTGTGAAAGCAGAAAATTTCCCAAGACCCTCAACAATACATTCCTCCAAAAGAGAAGAGGTCAGTGGCTCAACAATGGCTACAGCTTCTTTCTGAAAATAAAAATAAGAAATGTTTGAAAGAGAAGAATTTGCCATAGTGTCTATGGTTGGTGTCGAAGATGAGGTATAGTGTACTAGTACTATATTTATACACGTGATGAAACAGACCATAGCATGCCTGCTTACCGGAAATAACTGTAACCATTTTAACAATGGTGGCCAAAAACAGCCAAAATGGCTAAAAATAACCTATCTGCCAAAAATCACAGGTTTTCTAAAAGTAGTTTGTTTTATTTCTCCAATTCTGCCACTAGAGTGAGAAAATTCCAAGAGTGATCAGTCTTGTTCAAAGGAAAGGGGGGAGGGGGGGGGGGGGGGGGGGGGGGGAAAGTCCTCTACAAGGACAAATTCAATATTACAAGGGCACAGTCATAATTCAAGGTCAAAACCAGTTTTTTAGTTTTAGCTGAAGTTTCAACCTCACCGCAATCGGGTTTCCCCAAACTTGCTCCGTTCCTGCGCCAGTGAAAATCAATAGAAATGACCTTGTTGTGAGCCTCATTTTCTCCCACATAAATTATGCCTAGACAGAATGACGTCAGTAATAAATGTGAGTGGATTATTTTGAGTCTAACTAGGACAACACGGGAATTACTGATAGTCTAACTTCACGGGAATTGTAAAGAAATGCTGATAGTCAAACTTCGCGTGAAGTATAATTATTCACATATAGAGAAACGCTGACAGTCAAAACTTCATGTGAAGTACAATTATTCACGTGTAGAGAAATGCTGATAGTCAAACTTCATGTGAAGTATAATTATTCACGGGGATCACAAATAAAGTGCTGGCCAAATAGAATTCGGGTAAATCAGGGAACACGGAGAATTCGGGAATACAAAGAGGGGAATTAGAAGGCTAAATAATGCCATAGCTGGGAGTCAGTCTCGTTTAGGCCTAGGAAATGAATACATGAAGTATGAAGGAGTGTCTGCGGGATCCAGAAAGAGTGGTTAAGTCCTCCGATGTGTTCGCGCAGTGTTTTTCCAACGCCTACCTGGCCATCAGTTGCGGCGAATGGAAGTCGTAGCCAGCTGAATGTTTTGTGTTTTTGATCAGAAGGAATCATTGTTGTTCATTCAATTGTGGGATGCAATGTATGTTTTGTAAGGTAAAGTTGACATGTTAGAAAAGTGAGGATCGATGTGAGAGACTATGTTGTCCATTTACATTTACTGGGTGCAATACCAGCGAGTGATCAAATAAACTGTATAAGTGTAATTTGGATCGTTCTCCTGCGTCCATGTTTTCTCGTGTGTTGTCAGTCGGTGAATGGAAGCGTGCGAAGACGCGAGCCAGAAGACAAAAGAAAGTCATCGCAGACCTTAAACGCCTCATTTGAAAAACTGGTGAACAAACAATTAGTCCCGAAACAATCCAGAAACCAAGTTTCAAGGTCCACTACGAACTTTGACCTGGGCTGACCTGGAAGTCAAGGTCATTTCTGAAAAAAGAAAAACAACTCAGGCTCTGTTCAGATTTGAACCCATGACCTGACCTTCGGATCCACAGGCAGCATCTAGGTGCTACACCACAGTCGTTCCCCTAAAAGAATATGACTGTAGCATAATTTACCTGATGTGAAACTGGTGTTGTTTAGAAATTCTTTTTTTCTTTTCCACCCTATGAAGTTTTCAAAACTGCTGGCTTCTGAATTTTGAGAAAAAACACTTTTCAATGGTCTTTATGCATCTGCCTGAGAGGTTAGCAACCAGAAGACTGCACACAAATTCTGTAAAATGGATATGCATGCAAAACTCAAGTGTGGGAGCTCCCATTTTGGAGGAAATAACAGTCAAGGTAATTTATTAAAGAAAAAGAACATGAAAAAAAAAAAAAAAAAATAAACAAAAAGAGACAGAGGCATGTATGAGTAAAAGAAGATAAAAAGAAAGAGGAGGGAAAGACAAGAAAAGAAAGTGGAGAAAAGAAAACAGAGAAAGGAAAGAAGAATATGACAAAAAAGAGAAGGAATAGGAAAAATAGAAACTAGAAGAGGAAAAAAAAGACTATAAAAGACTCAGGCACCCCCATCCCCCCCCCCCCCCCCAACAAGAATGTCCTGTGTGTCGACTAATTAGAGGTTTCCTTCGAAGTTGGAGTGCATCTGCCTGAGAAGCGAGGAAGTAACAGTCTGTAAACAAACAAACCAGATCTGTAAAATGAATGTGGACGCAAAATATTCAGGAACAAGACTAAAGTCCAGAAGTGGATGAACAACCAGGACTTTCTGCTGGAGTTTACAACCGGTGGATGCAAAAGAAAAAGTCGCAAGTCTGAAGTCCTGGAACAAAGAGACAGAGCATCTCCTGAATGCATGATGTCAATTCTTGATCGATTCAATGATTCCCTGATTCATTCATATATTTCCTGTGTGGGTTCCAGGGCACTATTGGGGGGAGAAGGGGGGCAAGTATAGATGCACTGCCTCTCTAACATGCATGTCCTAAGAGTCGACTAGTCCATTAGAGGTTTCCTTAGAGGCAAAAAACCAATAGTTTGCATGCAAATAAGCCAGATCTGTAAAACAGATGTACACACAACACTTAAGTTCTCTGTCAAGACTAAAGTCCAGAAATGGATGAACAACCCGGAGTTCCCACCCGGTGAATCCAAAGAAGAAGTAACAAGACTGAAGTCCTAGAACAAAGAAATAGAGCATCTTTTGTGAACATGATGTCACTTCTTGATTCACCGTGTGATTCACTGATTTATTCATATGTGATATGCTCTAAATATGTCATGTATAAAGAAATACAAAATCACCTTCCAACAAGGAACATCATCCTTGATGCCTTGATGTTCCCAGCTGGCGTTCGTCACAAGCAGCCTGATAACAGCAGAGATACAATACTTTTAGACAACAGCAAATACACATTATTTTTAGTCAACAGCAGAGATACGTTATTTCTAGACAACAGCCAAAATACATTACTTTGGATAAAAGCAAAGATACATTATTTTAGACAACAGCAAAGACACATTACTTTTAGACAATTAAAAACAATATACTACTTTTTTACAACAGCAAAGATACTTTACTTTTAGATAACAGCAAGGGTACATTACTTTTAGATAAAAGCAAAATATACATTAATTTTAGTTAATAGCACAGAAACTTTACTTTTAGATAACAAAAAAAATATTTAATTTTAGACGACAACAAAGATGCAATACTTTTGGATAACAGTCAAGACCATAGAAAAACTACATTAAAAGGAAGAAAAAAAAAAGACAGAGGTAAGTATAAGTAAAAGAAGATAAACAGGAAGAGGAAGGGAGGACAAAAAAATAGGAAGTTGTGGAGAAGAATAAGAATAGGAAACAGAGGAAGGAAAGAAGAAAATGACAAAAAAGGAGGAGGAAAAAAAAATATAAACTAGAAGAGGAATAAAAGACAATAAACAGGAGGAGTAGAGACAGCAGCCGAAAAAGAAAAAAAATGAAGAAACAAGCAAAGAAGAAAGAGAACAAGGAGAAGAAAAAAGAAGAAGAAAAAGACAAAGCAGAAGGAAAATACTAAAATAACATTTTAAAACGTACCTGTTGGCCGTTTCAATGAGCCGTTTAATGGAGTACCTAACCTGGCTGTGATGATGTGGCAACAATTTCAGAGAATATGTTCTCTCCTGAAGCTGAAGAGTTCACAGAACAAACACCCAAAGAGTGATTTTACAAGAAATCTGATAGGCTAGATAAACTTATAACAAATGATGGGCAATACAAAGAAAAACTCAATGATAATCTTTCTATTGTCATCTCGCTGATGAGGTCGTAGCCCAGTGTCATGGCTTTCTGTAATTGTCTCAAATAATCCTGAGAAATACTGATATGTCCTGCAAAAGCCATCCTGGTATACATCTCTTTGTTTTCGAGCCCGTTCCTTTTAACATATTCAAAAAATATTTACTGTCTTCGTTTAATTAATTAATTTGTTTTTGAAAAATTAAGCACCAACCTGGTGCCGACTGACTGACTGACTTTTTACCCCACCAGGACATCACACAAACTATTAACACCCGATGACACAAAATGCCACCATGTGGATGAGGATCACCCGTGGAGGGGTCCCAGAAACCGCGTTTAGCCATTAGACCATATTTATGGCCAGGCTATATTGCGGCACCCGGCAAGAGCCAGGGTGGGGCTTCAAATAACGAAACATTTCATCCTAAAAAGGACGGTGAATTGGATTACATAACCAACCTGGTGCTAATTGGTCTATAAAATATAGGTCTGCCCCTATATGCCCTATACATATGAAGGGTCTTTTACTGACTTACTTTGCTGAATTTCTCTGATCAGTTTCAGTTGTCATTTCTACCAAAGAGAACCGCCTCATTGTTTTTTCTTTCAGTCAGCCTATGATATTATTTACATTTTTCCTGGAAGCCAAATTTCTGTTGACCCCGTGTGGGTTCTGGGCCCCATTGTGGGGGAAACAAGAATAGACCCAGGGTATCCGCAACAGGCATATCGTAGCAGTCGACTAACTGGGGACTCTCTTCGAAGTCAGAGTATATCTGGCCAAGTGGCAAGGAACAACCAACTGCACACAAATATGCCAGTAAAATGGATGTACACGCAAACCTCATGCCCTGGCACAAAGCCAAAGTCCAAATGGACGAACAACCAGGACTTTCCGCCGCAGCTAACAGTCGGTGAACAAAGAAAAAGAAGACATTTCTGTTGCTGTTTGATGTTCTCCTGTGTAATGATACATTTCCTCACCAGTAAGAGAAAATTGAGACGCAGATTGTTGGTCATAAACTATGTGTGAAAGCGTACGATGCGTACAAAGGTTACAGCAAGGCAGACTTCCTTATCTCTAGGAAACACAAGAGTTTGGCATGGGGTATGTTTGGAATGAGAATTGAATGAAATATGCGATGTCTTAGTGGTGCCTCAGGTTTCACATGAACGAGGAGAGATTATGAGAGGCCAAAAAGGCGAAAGATGGCATTTCTCTATTGTGGCGATTAAATAAAGGATGTTTGAATGCCTGTGTGTGAATTTGTGCTGTGAGTTGAGTTGAGTTAAGTCAAGTATTGACATTACAGCATTCAGGGCATTCCCATGCATGCTCTGTCCTCATTTTCAGCAGCCAGCACAGAGTTCCAATACTTATGGTACCGGTCACAATCTGGTTATATGTCTGTCTTGCCTTTCCTCTGAGTGTATTGAGCCGGCCAGACCCTCTGGTTACACCCCGGTGCCTCATTCTCTCTAGGCCATAATGAGCTGTGAGTATCGGTACAATCGGCCGACAGCAGCTATGACAATTGGGACAACCGGTCAACAAGATGGAAATGTGCAAATACTGCAGCCTAGCTGTAAACCACAACATAACAGTGAATGTAGAAGACAAAAGCTACGTTTCTTATACCTGGTCCCCAACTGGCATGTAGTGAGTAAAGAAATGTCCCTGTACTCCGTGTGACACAAACACACTCCCATCGCCAGGATAAATCTCCACAATTTTTACACCAGCCTTTTGGGCAAGTCTGAAAGAGAAATGTATGAGAATCGTCAAATGTTATGTTAATACTCGACCTTCTGGTAATCTGGTAATTTTAATTTCAGCTTCATAGCAAACGGGTCATCCCATCTTTGCTCCGCTCCTGTGCCAACGAAAAACACACAGAATGTTTATCACAGTCCCTTGTGGAAAGATTGACAGACTGCTGTCTCAGCATATTTAGCATACGCTCGCATTAAAAGCATATGGTAGCCATGCTATATGGAGCAGAAACTTGGACAATAAACAAGAAACTTTAAAATGGAAATGAGTCTCGAAATGTGGATATACGGAAGAATGGGTCGTTCTTCCATTAAACAAAAACAATCAAATACAGAGGTTCTGGGAAGACTACGAATGAAAAGTGAATTACTTAAAGAAATGCAAGAAAGAAAGAAAAAAGGCAACTGAAATATAACAGCCACATTAAGAGACATAATATACTTCTTTCATGGTGGCTTGGAAAAGATGGTGATGGAAGGTGCAGTTTGTGTAAGGCCAGGCAGGGGTCGACCACCACGAAGATGGATACAAGACATTGAAGATGCATTGGCACTGAAAGCACATGGGGCCGTAGAGAAAGGGATACTTTCAGGCGTGCTGTGAAGAGAGCGACGTTCTGTAAAAGACTTGCTGACTGATGAATATACTTCTTTAAAATCATGCTAGAAGGAGAGGTCAGGGGAGCAAGAGATAGAGACGATATAAATGGGAAGACAACATCAAGAGATGGATGAACTGCAGTATGAGAGAGTGTACAACCAAGAAAGACAAGAGAGACAGAGTGTGCTGGAGATCCATTTCAGCCATCCTTCATTGTGGAGATGGCACCTGACTGAATGATGACAGAGAAATAAAAACAGACCCCAAAAAATGAGGTTGACAAATTAGCTATTGAATTTCTGGAAGACAAGGTTTCAACCATTATGTTTGAAAGACTGGAGTTCACGTAGGATTTATCTGTGTGGGTTTCAGGATTCCAATTTGAAGAACAAAGAATAGACCCACTGCCACCCCTAACAAGCATGTCCCAAGAGACAACTAATAAGGGGTATTTCTTTTGAAGTCAGAGTGCATCCGCCTCAGAGACAAGGAACAAACAGTCTGCATACACATAAGCCAGATATGCACACAAAACTCAATTGCTGGAACAAGACTAAACTGCAGAAGTGAGCAAACAAACAAAATCATCCGCATCAGTCAACAGCCGGTGAAAGCTAAAAAGAAGATATTAGAATTAAACCTTTTAAGCTGAGTATTAATTTTCACTTCCTTTGAATTCCAATAATTTCCCATGAAAACGCCCATAAAATCACCAATAAAATGCCCACAAATTTCCCATGAAAACGCCCACAAAATTCCCACTAAAATGCCCACAAATTTCTAACCAAAACCCCCACAAATTTCATATGAAAATGCACATAAATTTTTCATGAAAACATACAAATTTCCCATGAAAATGCCCACAAATTTCCCATGAAAACGCCCACAAATTTCCCATGAAAACGCCCACAAATTTCCCATGAAAACGCCCACAAATTTCTCATGAAAACGCCCACAAAATTCCCACTAAAATGCCCACAAATTTCTAACCAAAAGGCCCACAAAATTCCCACTAAAATGCCCACAAATTTCCCATGAAAATGCCCACAAATTTCCCATGAAAATGCCCACAAAATTCCCACTAAAATGCCCACAAATTTCCCACTAAAATGCCCACAAATTTCCCATGAAAATGCCCACAAATTTCCCATGAAAATGCCCACAAAATTCCCACTAAAATGCGCAAAAATTTCATATGAAAATGCCCACAAATTTTCCATGAAAACACACATATTTCTCATGAAAACACCTACAAAACAGCTTGATGTTCAGTTTCTTTACTTGTCACTTTTTCTCTTCAGAAAATTCTGGAAATCATCTGCTACCTATTTTTACGATAAATGACAACTGGCAATATGATGTAAAACGAGCAAGGGGAAGACGAGGAGATAAACATTTGGATGGCACAGGGCAAAACAATAACAATGACTTGACTCTGGTGATCGTGTGAAATGGCGAAACATAACAGCTTATATTTATCGACTTTGGCTGTGCTTTTGTTCCCATCAATCTCGCCAGTTTTCACCATGCTCTTAAGTCAATTCCTTCTTATAACACTTCTGGAAAAAACTCCTGAGACCAATCCCCGTCTTTGTATCTACGTCACTTCAAGCTGTAAGTGAATTTCTCCCTTACATTAACAACAGCAAAAACCTGGCAATGTAAAGGTCGCAAACACTCACCGATATACTACACCCTCAGAAATAACAACCTTGAGTCTCCCATGCTGAAACTCCCCAGAACTTGTAGAGTCTTCATCGTCATCCCTGATTTCATTAGACATCCATTTGTGGCGATGCTGCAAGGGGCAGGTAACTGGCAAAGGGGAGGGAACTTGCGTAAAAATACAATTTTTTTTGTCTGCCGGTATGCTGGGTGAGTTAGAGTAATCTTTCTTGGCAGGACTGCAGCAGGAGACATCATCTGGTGAAAATTACACCGAAATTATTACAGCCTCAGCTAATATAATAAAAACAAACAGCAAGAGGACTTGACAAATCTGTGTCTTTAAATAATACAGATATAAACAATACATTGCACAATTGATTGACAGGCATATTTCACTGCATCTTGTCAGGTGAATTACTACAGAGTTATATCAACACATCATCATCATCAAGTGCCTTGCCAGCTAGTGTAGGCACTCATGCATTTCAACAGATCTCGGTCTTTGTTGTTCAAGATTAATTCCACTGATGATATTCCTCCATGCCACTGTCTTAAGGCATCCACCATCATTTCTCTTGGTCTGCCTCTACCTCTTCTACCAGTGATCTTTCCACTCGTCATGAAATTTTCCAGTGCTACTTTTCTCATCACACGGCCAAAGAATGTTGTCTCCCTCTCATTGTTGTATATAATGTTCTTCTTTCATTGGCCATTTCCAGACAATCATTGTTAGTTATTCTGGCAGTCCAAGGTATTCGCAACATTCTTCTCAAGAACCACATCTCAGTTGCCTTCAAACTCCTTATTTGTTTGCCCACATTTCAAGATTTACGGCCACACAAGAAAAAATGCTTGATGTAACATTTCAGTACTCATTTTCAGATGTTTAATGAGAGTGATTTATTACATAAGATACTTTTCATCTTCTGAAATGCTGCCTTTGCCAGGCCAATTCTGCTCTTAATTTCTGTCACACATCAACCATCCGATGTTTTGATTGTCCCCAAATACTTGAACTTATTGACTTGGTTAGGCACGTTCCTTTCTATTGCTATGTCACATTTTGGAGTTATCTTCTTCTTCTTTGATATAGCCATTGTTTCTGTTTTCTTGACATTCAAGGCAAGTCCCTTGTTTGCCCTCTCTAGTACCACAATGTGCCCGTCTCTCTAGCGTAGTTGGCTAAACCGGATTGCACGGTGAGCGGGTGACGAACTCCTTGTGGTCTGGGTTCACTCCCGGAGGTAGGCAGAAAAGCCACATTTCTCCCAGATTTACGGTATTTAAAATGGAATCAAAGCTGAAAGGTTGCGATATCCATAATACCGAGCCTAAGGGTTAACAACTCATGGCTTCTGGATACTAAAACAAACAAACAAACAAACAGTACCACAATGTCTAAAAGTTGTTGTAGGTCTTCTGCGTTTTCAGCTATTATTACTGTATCATTATCTATTAATACTGTATCATTATCTATTAATACTGTATCATTATCTATTAATACTGTATCATTATCTATTAATACTGTATCATTATCTATTAATACTGTATCATTATCTATTAATACTGTATCATTATCTATTAATACTGTATCATTATCTATTAATACTGTATCATTATCTATTAATACTGTATCATTATCTATTAATACTGTATCATTATCTATTATTACTGTATCATTTTCTATTAATACTGTATCATTTTCTATTAATAATGTATCATTATCCATTAATACTGTATCATTATCTATTAATACTGTATCATTATCTATTAATACTGTATCATTATCTATTAATACTGTATCATTATCTATTAATACTGTATCATTATCTATTCATACTGTATCATTATCTATTAATACTGTATCATTTTCTATTAATACTGTATCATTACCTATCAATACTGTATCATTATCCATTAATACTGTATCATTATCCATTAATACTGTATCATTATCTATTAATACTGTCTCATTATCTATTAATACTGTATCATTATCTATTAATACTGTATCATTATCTATTAATACTGTATCATTATCTATTAACACTATATCATCTACATAACGAAGATCGTTTATATTATAACCTCCAACTAGTATTCCTGGTCTCCGTGACCTCCCTCATTATTGTGTCACTATAAAGAGAGCGAGAAGAGATCCGGTGACAAAAACACATCCTTGTCTTACTCCGTGCTTTATCTGCTCACAACTGCCGCCTTTATTTCCCAATTTAATTGCTACTTCTTGCTACCAGCAAATATTTTTTATTATTCTCAGATCTTTTCCATCAATGTTAATATCCTCCAACAATGTTATTATATAATCATGTTTCACAAAAGCTTTGGTGTAATCTATCAAGCACAAATGTTTGTCTTTCTGTTTCTCCACTGATCTCTCAGCTAATGTTAGCAATGTGTATATTGCATTATTTGTATCTTTCCCTTCTACAAAACCATACTGCTCTTCACCAATTTCCATTTTCTTTCGAGTTCTTCACATTATAATTCTAAGTAACGGTTTGGTGACATGGTTTATGAGGTTGATTGTACGAAATCCATCACATTCAACTACCCCAGATCTTTTAGGTAGCGTTATAAATACAGACTTCAAGATATTATTAGGTATATCTCAACTGTTGTAAATATCATTAAACAGTTTAGTTAATATGTCAACTCCAAATTCTCCGAGTACGTCTAATTCCTCTACTGTAATTCCATCTGGTCCGGCTGTTTTTCTTTTCTTCATATGTTTGATAGCAGCAGAGACTTCTCCTTCTTCTCAACAAATAATGAAGCAAAAAAACTGAAATAATTCCACTGAAATACACCATTAACTGTTTGGTTTAACTAGGCAATTTTACGGCTCTATCTTTGTTTCTTGAAAGTCAGCTCTCACTACCACTATCAAAATCAATGTCAGGCGGTCTGCTGTCAAATTGCCCACAGTTGAATTTGAACTAGGTACCTCAGCAACATCTAAGCCACAGATGCCGACAAGACTCGAAACTAAAAATGCAACCAAATATATACCATCTAAGAGTATTCTTGATTTTACGTAAATTTAAAAAAATCAATATCACCAATTCCGTTCTTAACACTAAACACAGAAAACTCTATATCCACCTATTCTATTCTTGATACTAAACATAACAAAATCCATATCCACCAATAGCATTCATGATATTAAACACACACAAAATCTATATACTTCAGTACCATTCTTGATCATCATCATCATCCCCTAATGCTCATGTCATTGGGTCACCAATTTCTGTTGACTGTCTGATCAGCTCTCTCCACCTTTGGCGGTCAGTTGCGATGGACTTCATGGTTGCATGACTGAGGCCTGTCCAGTCAGTCAGTATCTGTAACCAGGTCTTTCTTGGTCTGCCTCTCCTCTTTCCCTCTACTGAGCCCTGCAGTATTGTTTCTGAGAGGCCGTTAGATCTTTTTACATGTCCATACCACTGCATTTTTTAGCCTTTTCACTGTAGTTCTCCGATCTATTTGTCAACAGCATGGTGCATCTCGGGCAGTATTTCAACCCTGGGGGCGCTCCTCTCCAGGTGGCCATTTCCCTGTTAGCCTGTATCCTCATGATTACAGTTTCCAGTCTGCACCACGGGAGGTGGGGTTGCCTTGTGCAATCACGGAACAGTAGCAGGATACCAAACACATAACATCTACACCCACTAGAACTATGTTTAATACTTACTGGTTGAATCTGTACTTTCCAAGACCAACTTCAGAGGATGCGCCCACAAGGCAGGACAGTCATTTGTGGAACAATGTTTTGTGGTCCATATATAACTGTCCCTACACTGTCGTTGTCGAGCATGTTTACTGTCACACCCACCATGTCTGCATCCCTCGGAAACAGGCACTGACCCACTTCTCTGGTCTGCCTGAACTAGGGTTGAAATATTTTCTAAAGCTGTATTTAAATTGATTTTTCTGGAAATATTATTTGTATCACTGATAGGATCAGAACTTTTGACATTTTGACCTGATTGTTCAGATATGCCAGCGCTATCTGGTAATGTGTACAATTTTCTTATGGTTTGATCAGCACTTTCACTGAGGTTTGAACCATCACTTATTTGGCTGAGGGATTTAGCTCTATCTGAGCAGTCAAGTTTATGTGGAAAATTGGAAATTAGTTCCTGTGTTTGAATTGCGGATGTTTCTAATTCAACACCATTTACCGTCACTCTGTCAGAATTAATAACTGTGGAGGAATTAGAGTTATTTTTCCCTGAAACAGAAAAGTCTACCAATCGTTGTATTTCCATTTTACTGTCACTTTCTTTACGAAAGTTGTCGATTTTTTGGTTACCAAGAAAAGAACCACTAAGCGAAACAACTTCATCATTCTTAATCAAACTAGACTTCTCAGAATAGAGTCCAGTTTGGGCATCATAAGGACTAGATGTGTACTGTGCTGGCGAGTTAGAACTTTGTCTGCCTTTCAACATCTGTTCTCGAGCACTGCCCGATACATCCTTATGTAGCAAGGTTGCGTCTAAATCTACTATAGTCCTAAGTCCATCAGGTGTAGATGATCTACTAATACTTGAAATATCACGTGAATTTTGGCAATCATCAAAAAATGACACTGGCGGATGTTGTTTCTCTTTCTTGTATGCTGAATCTGATCGAAAACAATACACGCCAGATTGGTTGGTAAGTGTTTTTGAACACTTTCCATTATTCTGAATAAAAGAACTTGTTTCAGTAACGTCCAAATTCTGTCTTGTCAACTTTTGTTCGCTAATTTCTGTATTATACATTTGAATCTTGCTGTTATCATCTCCTGTAAACACTTCCTGACTTGCCACATTGTCTGACAGTATGAGGCCAGATTTAACTTGAGATGCTGAGAAAGTATTTGTAATTTTCAACTCATGTAGGTCTTCAGTAATCTGAGAATGATCTATTTTGACCGAAAGTCTCTGATCTAACTGACCAGATTTTTCAACTGGGTGAGTCAAAACTGGATTGAGATTTGAGGAATTGTTTTTATCAAATGAGCATGTTTTCCTTGAGGAAGACTGCGATGACACACCCCAGGAAACGGAGTCAGATTTCTGCATGACATTATTTTTTGACTTCCTTTCGTCGTGACTGGTTCTTGACAGAAAGCAGACTGTGAAGTCAAGACCATGAGGGGAGACGATTAAAGTTGCAAATTCATCATGGGAGGTAATACTTCGACTGCCATCAGGAAGAATCTCAATTTTTGCCTCCCCTAGTTTCCGAGGCCAGGCAAATTGGTCGATTCTGGCATAGAGCTCCTGTAGGTTGATTTAAAAAAAAAAAAATTATGGTTAAGATTAAATACAATTATAAAGAGTTAAAGTGGCATGAAGGAACACAAACTCTCTTTTTCTTTTTTTTCCCTAGCATTTGCTGGCTGTAAACCCCAATGGAATATTCTGGTTGTGTGCTCGCTTCTGGTCTTTGGTCTTGTTCCAGAGCTTGGGTTTCGCATGCAGATGCATTTTACAGATCTGGCTTAATTGTAAGCTGACTATTGGTTCCTCACCTCTTTACATACTTGCTAAGAGGGCAGAGGGTCTATCAATTTTCCCCCCAAAATGGGGTCACAGAACCCCTGACCTGTCTGTGCTGATTGGCCAACAAAAATGTGTAGCTAGCACAATACGAACGATACACCAACGGGGGAAAATAGATTCTTTACTTTAAGACTGCCACCATGAAAACCTGCAAAACTGACACTTCCATTTGGGGCCAATTCCCCATAAATGTCACTTTTATGACTTGTCTGTAGTGATCTGTTTGCAAGACACATAGTTAATGCGACTGGTTGTGTTCATGCCTGCACACAAATGTTAGAGGCCAGAATGTGAATATATTAACTAAAAATAGCACTGGGGGAAAGAAAAAATAGAGTTAGGGGTCCATCAAACTAAATGTTTTTTTTTTAAAGCCAAGCCAACATAAAATTTTCCCTTAAGCCTTAGTGATTGAGGTCACAGCATGAGTCACTCCATTCATTTATTTTAGGCCCTAGGGTATGTATTCCATTTAAGGCCCACTCCGTTCACATAGATTGGCTCCTCATTTCATATATGTTTTTATACTTTGGACCAAAATTTACAAATGACAATAAACATATTTTAAAAAAATGGTTTGAGGTTAGAGGTTTTGAACAACGGATCAACATCATGGCACACGGGTAGTAACCCATAAGTGCTCCGTTCTTCTTCTAACTCAAGTCCGAGTCCGAAGAAGCTCAGCACAGTGCACAGGCTCTGTAGCACCGGCGAGGAACCTGAAATATTTGGGTAGATTTTTAACTGCAAATTTTGCCTGGAATGTGCAGTTAAGCTACTCTTTTCAATTTCCAACTGTCAAGGGATTTTTTATGTGTGCAACAATACACACGGGCTTCCAATCTCACTACCCAGAGACCATGGGAAATTACTAGAAGTCCATGTGAACATAAAAAATCCCACCCTTCACCGGAGCTTGAACAAGGACCTCTAGCACTTGAGGTGGACACCATACAGCCCTTTTGTAAAATGTATTAGTGACCTGTGTCCATTTTTTTTGTTTTTGAAGTATTTGTTAAAAAATATGTAAAGGCTCATGAAAATGAAAATTAAACATTAACAAGGTGAATGGGTCAATATAGACACAAATCCTCAAACAACTCACTTTCTTTCAGTGATCACTGCATGGAATGGTCTATGGTAATTTATTCCAATTTTTTTTGCCGATAACCTCTTTATCTAGAGTCTATTTTACTATCTGCTACTAAGTGGACAAATTCAGAAAGAGCGGAGAAGATAGAAACTGACAGAGTGGGGTAGAGACAGACAGACATAAAGCAGAGGTTAAAAAAATGATAGAGTGGGAGAAAGACAGAGTGGGAGTAACAGAAATTGAAAGAGTGGGGGGGGAGACAGAAAGAGAGTAGGAAAGCGATAGAAAAAGAGGGGGAGAGACAGAAAGAGAGTAGGAAAGCGATAGAAAAAGAGGGGGAGAGACAGAAAGAGAGTAGGAAAGCGATAGAAAAAGAGACAAATAATGATAAACATGTCACACAGATAAATGAAAATGATAAACTGAAATCACCACAATGTCCTCTCCTGGAAGCAAGTCATCACACAGGTACGATCTCTCGGCAAATCTGTTCCGAAAATCCAGTGCCTGCAGAACTTTTTGTCTGTGTTCGCTGGTCACAAACCTCGTACGCTTCTGGACTCTCCTTGATTGGCCTGAAACAAAGTCTGCACATATGGATGTACTGAGACAAATAGATCACACATCTTCTTCTGTTTATTTTCCATTTACAAGAAGTAGTTCTGTGGTGTCATAAATTTTAGGTTCGGCTGTGACCTTTCTGGACTATACGGGTATTTCAGCCCAACACTTTAACATAGTTTTTCCGTAAGGATTGGCTGGATCCGCACCGCTGGGTGGTGAAATGATACATGACAAAGCAGATATGGTCAAGGCCCTTTGGGAACAAGCAAAGGAATCAGCAGAGAAACAAGATTATTATGGCCTGGAGAGAATGAGGCACCTGCGTGTAACCAGAGGGTCTGGCCGGCTCACTACACTTAGCGAAAAGGCAAGAAGGACATTTAACCAGATTGTGATAGGTACCATCAGTATTGGAACTCTGCGCTGGCTGCTGAAGATGAGGACTGAGCATGCATGGGGATGCCCCAAGTGCTGTGATGTCAATTCTCGACTCAACTCAACTCCGCAAGGATGAGTTTCCTCAGTCCGCGGCAGACCACGACTTATCCATCAGATCGGGGCTATTCAACTGGCAGGTCAAACATTGACACAATAGCTAGGATAACCCGCCTAGTATTGGCACTGCTCTCACAGAAAGAAATCGCAACCTACTGAAAGTATTTTGCAAAGTAAAGTCATGTCTGTCTCTCTGTTATCTCTAGTTATATCAACATTGAACAAAACCACAAAAATGAGTCATTTCCAATTACATACACACACATCACAAACTTCTTTAGTTACACCCAACATCTCAGGTCCTGAATGATCAAGTTTAACCATGCGGTTATTTACATTCTTCTTCTGTGTTCAACCTTAAAAGGGCGGTTGACAATGTGTGTTGTGGTTTACAGCTAAGCAGTGATATCTGAGCCTTTTGGCACACATCGGTTTCAGCAAAGCCCTAATTAATCGCCATTAATGACCTACTTGTTGGAGGAGGCAGGGAGAGAGTCTAGTATTGTTAAAAACAAAATTGGGTCTGGAACCCATATGGAGGGTCATTTACTTATGAAGTGAACCAATTACTGTCTACCTAACCAACTAACATATGGTGAATTAAAGATGGGTAGAAGATGCTATAGTCAACCTCTACTACGATACAAAGATGTGTGCAAGCAGGACATGAATGATACGGGTATTGAGTCATGGGAACAAATTGCCATAGACCATGTTGTGTGGAGTGGGCGCATTAGGAAGGGAATGAGAATAAAGGAAGAAATTATTGCAGAAAGGACGAGACGAGAGCTTAGCATCTGAGAAGAAACACAATAAATTTAAACGCTGACAACAAAGGTCCTAAAATACTAAAATTGTGGAAGACACTTCTTAATGTGAGCGGATCTTGTTAGTCACACCCACTATCGCTATGGGATGTGAGTCCCATGCCTCCTTATAGCGCAATATAAAACTATCGTCTGGAAAGACGGAAAGGTGCCAATCAATCAACTAACATACACAGTACAAGACAGGTGTTTTTATAATCTTCACTTTATGGAAGAAATACTGTCCTTGCATACCAAATCCAGTACATCCTCTTGTGTTTGGTGATTCAACATGGATCATCGAGGAGCCACAAGGCGACAGTTCGAGCCTGGATCCATCAGAGTATCGAATTTCAACTGCGTCATTGCTGTACAAAATCATTAAGGCAGGGACAATCGCCATCATCTGCAGATTGAAAACATAAAAAAACCATAAGGTCATTTTGTCTTCTTCTTCTTATTAGCAGAAAATTATGGCTGTTCGTCCACTTCTAGCCTCTTGTCTTGCTTCAGAACTTTAGTTTTTCATGCACATCCGTTTTACAGATCTGGCATATTTATATGCAGACCACTGGTTCCTCGCTTCTCAGGCAGACGCACTCTAAAGGACACTTCCCTAATCAGTCACCTCGTACGGCATGCTAGCGAGGTAGCTGGTCATTTCTGTGTTTATGTGCTTGATTATATGTTAATGTAACTTTGTACTAATGCATCTGATGGGAAACAGTGAAATATGCCAGGCAATAAATTGTGCAAAGTATTGTCTGTCACAATTTATGTCAGCAATATTTATTAAATTCACTATAAGAAAATCAGAGCCATGAAAGACAGCATCTCCTTCCACAAAAGAAATAGACATATTTAGAGTACGGACTGGACATAACAGACTCTGCTGCCATATGTACAAGAAAGTCAAAATTGTGAATTCAGAACTCTGCCTATGTGGGCAGACATCATAGAATAGTAGTAAACATATGCTAATAGACATGCTGGCTATCCTCCAAATAACGGCCACATATTAGGGCAGCAAAAAAACCCACCCTGACAGGGCCCCAATCACATGTAACTTGCAGTCTTCTTTCCAGCGAATATATTCTGCGGCTAAAGTAGGATAAATTTCCGGGGCTGATGTCGCGAAACGCAACAAAACACGCAGCAAAAGTGGAATAAATTTCCGGCGATGATGTCGCGAAACGCAACAAAAGTGGGATAAATTTCCGGCAATGATGTCACGAAAAGCAACAAACCGAGTTAAATTCGCTACAGAGAGTTTCCCTGCATGGCGAGGAGGGGAGCTAAAGTAGATGGCTGGAACTCACGAGCAGCAGCTACTGCATCTCCTGCAGCTACCTCCATTTCATTTGCTCGTGAGTCCCATCCATCTAGTTTAGCCCCCTCTGCGCTGCGGGGATACTCTCGGTGGTGGCGGTATAATCGCCGAAAAGAGGTCCACAATTTACATATGACTGAGGCCCTGTTAGGGTAGATTTCCGGCCTCGATAATTTGGGACAGTCATTCTGAGGATAGCCTAGAGTAGAGAGATAGCAGGTTTTGCCCGCTGGAATTCCAATGGAAACTTACTGTCTGTATGGATCAGTGGAAGACATGTGTCGCACCACAGATTTCAAAGAGACCTGTGGCTTTCCTGTCTGAAAACCGCTGAAAGGTAGAGAAACAACTACGAGTGCAACAGGACAGAACATTGTAAACTGTTTTAAACTTTACTTTACTTATTTATTTCTTGTAATGATATCAAGAAAAGATATAAACCCCTACGAAAAGTATATTAGTATTATTAACTTATTATTAGCAAGCTTCACAACAACAAATACAAACAAAACGTGAACGTTGCGGCTATTGAGCCTTCCTTCATCAGCACACACAAAATAAACAATACTGCATTCTGTATCAGAAAAAGGCACATTAATAACTTCTGGAGGTAGAGGAGATAATAACATAGACAAACATACGTTTTGTTATTGTAGAGAAAACTCAGAGAGACCCGCCGTCCGCCATGATGGCTTGCCTAGAGACAAGTTCCTGCAGGCAGCCACCAATCAGTTGTCTTGTTACAAACAGATAGTTCAAATGTCTGTTTCAGTATTGCCACTTTTGATGTTTTACATCCAGATTTAGATGTTTTTCCTTGCATTTAGATGGCGTTTTTGACGTTTAGATGGTAGATGTCTTTCTAGATCTTTTTCATTTGAAGTGAATTTATTAAATCTAACCCAAGAAGCAGGATAAAATTTGACCTCTTAAATGCTATCTTGACAATAAAATTCGGCCTGATAAGAGTAGGAAAAGGCTGTCCCACTTATCAGCGCCCTGATTGGGTATTAAAAGAAATTGGAACAGCTAAAGCATACCAGAGTGATTTTGGATCTGAAGCTTCAACTTCTTCATCATCCAAGCTAAGTTTATCCTGTGGATCTTGTAAGGCAGACTTCAGTTAAAATGAGGACATGATTCTATAGCGTAAGTCATATTAATTGCTATGTAATTTATGACTCTTTCCAGTTGGATGTCTTTTCTAGATGTTTTCCACGCAAATTTAAATGTGTTTAGATATTTTTGGACTCCGTTTTGGATGTTTTTGTCAAAAAAAGTGGCCACACTGGTCTGTTTTCACGGCTGAAGAGTTACACTCAAGATCATCGCTCTGCTATCAATATCAAACATGGACACTGTCTTTAGAAGAGAGAAGGAAAATAGTCACGACAGAAATGAAATGTTGACGACTATGCTAGGTGTAACAAGGAAAGATTAACTTAGGAACGATATAAGGAGGAGAATCGGCATAGAACCAATCATCATCATCATCACCAGGTGCCTTGCCGACTGGCATGGGCGATCAAGTCTCTCCATAATCCGCGATCTCCTCTGCAGCATGTATCAGTTCGTGTGCCGACACACCTCCATGCCAGGCAACAAGACTGTCAAGAATCTCCTCTCGTTGTCTTCCTCTATCTTTCCTTCCACAGATCTTTCCAGTGGTCACAACATGTTCTATTTTCCCTCTTCTCATAACATGGCCGAAAAATGATGACTGTCTCCTTCTGATGTCTGTGATAAGTTGTCTTCGGGCTCCCGCCTCTTTCAAAACCTCTTGGTTGCTCTTTTTAGCGGTCCAAGGTATTCTAAGCATTCTTCTGTAAAACCACATCTCTGAGGCCTCAAGCAATTGTTTGGCCTGCCTACCGATTGTCCAGGATTCACAGCCAAATGTTAAAACTGGATGTAGCAAGCACAGAACCAATACTGAACTTTATAGGTAGACAACACATTAAATGGTTTGGCCATGTAACAAGACTGGCAGCAGACAGGGACCCACAGAGTGCAATGTTATACAGATACAGCGGTAACAGATCCAGAGGTCGACCACACAGGACATGGACCGCAGAAATAAAAGACACTGAAAAGTATTATATACGAAGCGAACAGAAGGGCCCTTCCTAGAGATCTCTTCCTCCCCTGACGCCACGAAGCATTCCAGGAGTAGAGAACAGAAAAAATGCCCGTTCTAGAGATCTCTTCCTCCCCTGACGCCGCGAAGCATTCCAGGAGTAGAGAACAGAAAAAAGAAGAAGAAGATGAAGAGTTACAATGGCCAATGTCAACATTGTCGTCGTCAAAATTGTCATAGTAGTTATCACTCTTGCCATCATCGTTAATATCATCACAATGTGGCAATCACCATCATGAAAATATACCACATCTTTTGCAGAACGTCGCACTGATCAAGACTCATCGATGACACCCTCCTTGCTATGCTATATACATATCATCATCATCATTGTCTTCATCATCATTGTCTTCATCATCATTGTCATCATCATTGTCATCATCATCATTGTCTTTATCATTGTCATCATCATCATTGTCTTCATCATTGTCATCATCATCATTGTCTTCATCATCATTGTCTTCATCATCATTGTCATCATCATCATTGTCATCATCATCATTGTCATCATCATCATTGTCTTCATCATCATTGTCTTCATCATCATTGTCATCATCATCATTGTCATCATCATCATTGTCTTCATCATCATTGTCATCATCATCATCATTGTCATCATCATCATTGTCTTCATCATCATTGTCATCATCATCATTGTCTTCATCATCATTGTCATCATCATCATTGTCTTCATCATCATTGTCTTCATCATCATTGTCTTCATCATCATTGTCATCATCATCATTGTCATCATCATCATTGTCTTCATCATCATTGTCATCATCATCATTGTCTTCATCATCATTGTCTTCATCATTTTCATCATCATCATTGTCATCATCATCATTGTCATCATCGTCATTGGCGCCAGAATCACTGTAGGCCAGATAAATATTTAGAGGGTATAACCCGTCAAATTATAGCAGAAGGCATGGTACCAGGAAGGAGGGGCAGGGGCAGGGGCCGACCAACACGAAGATGGGTACAGGATATAGGTGACTCCTTGAATTTGAAAATGCATGAGGCGGAAGAACTGGCGACAGACCGAGTTTCTTTCAGGCAGACTGTGATGAGAGCGACGTTCTGCAAAGGACCTGCTACATGATTATGAACCCGTAAATAGTTTTAAAGGCGAAGAAGTTCCCGATAAAAGGATCTAACGAACTACGAACTGCAAAGAAATGCTGGGGTTGGTTCTGCAACGTCATATAATGGATAACCACCTAATGTTAACTGACTTTTAACTAACTACTCTTTCATCTTCATAATCCATACTCTACTAGCACTTCATAAGGAAATGTCAACGCTGTTGGTAACCCTTGACATTTGTCACCATTGGTCACACAAATATCAGCCTCTGTGAACCATTGAGACAACTTAAATGCCACCAGAAGTTAATTCACGAAGTTGACAATGGCTCATATTTTTTAGAAAAGGTATAAAACTGAACGAAAAGTATATTAGCAAGCTTCACAATATAACAAATACAAACAAAACGTGAACGTTGCTGCACATACAAATCAAACAATACCACACAAATACACAAAATCAGTTAGCTGGTATCTCGTAACAGTCAGGTTGATAGTTTCTAAGCAGACTGCCTAAACGCGTGGACTAGGGGAATAAATACTTCCCTGAGGAGTACCAGCGGCCATAACTAGGGGGTTTGAGATAAAACTGTGAGGGCAGTTCAATCCCCTATGAGTTTTAGAGACCAGTCGACACTAGGCATTGACGCCCACCCCAGGTTATTAGTTAGGGTACTCAGCATCCCCAGCTAATATTTAGAGTACTGAGCATCCCTGCCCTTCCCCCCCCCCCCCAACTTTTTTTCAGTATTCTCAAAATCTTATAGATCAAGTAGATATTATTTTTCGGCGTCACCCGGGATAGTTAATGAAAATATCATTTACATGTTGTCTGCTTCTTCTTTGCCTCC